ATCAGTAAAAGACACTGCACCATAAAAAACCAATGTGGAGATAGGAGCAGGCAGGAGGCTCAGCAAGTAAAACACTTTGTCTTGCAAGGCTCTGAGCCTGGTTTGTGTCCCCTGAACCTAGACAAAGAGGGAAGAAAAGAACAGACTCCACAAAGCTGACCTCTGACTTCCTCACGGGCATGGTGGCATGCTCCCCCCAACACACAAATCATGCACACATAATAATCATCAAAAAATGAAAGTGGAGAGTGTTACAAGACAACTAAAACCCACTTCTGGCCTACACACACACACACACACACACACACACACACACACACACACACGAAAGTAAAATATACATACAAAAAGTAAAAATAAAATAGAAATGTAAGAGCATGTATTAAGAGAACTCACCTTTAGAAAAAAAAGCCACTGGATAGAATGGCTTTGTGTGAATTAGAGAGCTAAATAGTATCAGTGAAAATTTGGGATCCTCATATTTTACCTAGAAATCCCATCTCTGTTTTTAGACTGTCAGTTATTTTGTACGTTTTTATAGAAAGTCCATTAGATACACTGTCATTTCATTGCACTCCCTAGTCAGTGGTGTGTTTGGCACAATGGTGCAGAAACGCACGTGATTCGTGGTTCCGGCAACATTCTCTTTCCTTTTGTGTGTCTGCACCGCTGGGAGCTTCCCTTTGGGGGCACTGGCAGTTTGCTTTGTGTAATAGGCAGGGATGGATCAGTGTGGGTTCTGAGTGTAAGGGGGAAAGGATTCACATTCTGAATGCAGTGTTTATAACTACCAGGGACTTCTATTTATACTAATGCCAGAGTCTGAATGGGCATTTCAAAATTATCTATGGAGGCGAATGTTTGCCTTGACTGTTCCTTTTTTCAACTAAATCAACCGATCCTCTCTTAGGAGCTCGTCTGTCTCCTGCCACAGTGAGGGTGAATCACTCTGACAAGACACAGGCATGCTGCTAATAGTTATTAAAAGCATTAAAGCATTAACCTTTAGCAACCTCATTTTTCACTTGGTACACACATTTAAGTATTTTTATCAATCTGAAGCTAAACACTAAGAATTCAGTTAAAAAATGATTGGTTCTCTTCACTAATAGAAAAACATATGATAAAAAGTGAAGGCATTGGAAGAATGAGGCAGCATAAATAGTTGTTCTGGGGTCAATTAACATAAATCTATTCCCTTGTGACTGTGGAAATGAAAATGCCAGAGATGAACTGACTTAGAAAATCCACAACAATTATTTAATCTTCAGAATTTAAGATTAAAAAATTGTGGATATCAGACTTTCTTTGTTATATATTGAATATTAACACTAGATTTTAAAATTTCAGATCACAATATTTGAACAGAAAGCCCCTATGAAACATGCAGCTATTCATAGCATTTCTCAACAGTAGGTACTCAACAACAGATATTAATGTCTATCCCAAAGCGCTTCCCACTTGATAATAAACAAGGAACTTTTATTTGTTGCCAAAGGATTGCAAATATAAACACAACATAATTCCTTTCAGGGTGAAAAGTAAAACATGTATACATATATACTACACAGGGCAGAGTGGGGTAACCACCATATAAACAAAGAATCATAAGGACTGAGTAAAAGAAGAAATAATTTGTATTTCCCACAATAAATGTTTATAGTTGACATTATTCTTTTCATCTACTTGGTATTAGAGTTTTTGACTATACTCATAAAATTTCCCTATTATTCTTATACAGTATGTCCCCACTTTCACAATAGAATTTTAATGGTCCTCCCTTCCAGTTGAAATACAGACCCATGTCTTGAGTTCAACTGATCAGACCCCTGATCCTGTCCAGTGACTAACGATATGCAAACTGTCTGTAGCACTGGTTGCAACTGCAAGAGAGTTTGGGAGTGAGTACTTCACTTGAACAATGAGCATGAAAATGGTAGTTGGAAAGTCCTTACTGGACTAAATCTACAACATGATTTTGAATGTTCCTTTGGATCTCACAAATTTTTATTGTAAGCTTGATCTTCCAGCTTTCCTAGTCATTGTGTAAGCAATACATAGCCTTGAAGTGAATGATTCTCTACTCAAAGCAACCAGAGGCAATGAATAGCAGCTAACAATAGTGGCTGGCGTTAAGGATATTTGGGGCACGCCTTGAATCCCAGCACTTGGGAGTCAGAGGCAGGCGGATCTCTGTGAGTTCGAGGCTAGCTTGGTCTATAGAGTGAGTTACAGGACAGCCTCCAAAGCAATACAGAGAAACCCTGTCTTGAAAAAACAAACAGCCAGGCAGTGGTGGCGCACGCCTTTAATCCCAGCACTCGGGAGGCTGAGGCAGGCGGATCTCTGTGAGTTCCAGGCCGGGCTGGACCGATAGCCTCCAAAACAATACAGAGAAACCCTGTCTTGTAAAAACCAAAAAAAAAAAAAAAAAAGAAAGAAAAGAAAAGAAAAAGAAAAAGAAAAAACAAACAAAAAAAATTACAGAATGTAGAGTGTAGTCTTTCTTGCCAGTCGCCTGGGCCTTGCCACAGTTGCAGTCCCCAAATAACACACAGGACACTATATTAATTATGAAGCTGTTGGCTGTTTGCTTGGTTTCTTACTGGCTATCTCTGACTTAAGTTTTTAACCCATAATTGTTAATCTAAGTATTTCTCTTACCAGAGAAAAGGGTCAGTACCTCTTACTCTGGTGGTCTACATCATGTCTCTGTGTCTCTCTTTCCCAGAATCCTCCTTGACTCCTAGTCCCAACTATCTTGCTTCCCTATTGGCCAATAGTGCTTTATTCAACAACCAATAAGAAACAGATTTACAGAATGACATCTCCCATCAACAGAACAATAATGGCAGGCTTCTTTTTTTTTTTTTTTTTTTCCGAGACAGGGTTTCTCTGTATTGTTTTGGAGGCTGTCCTGGAACTCACTCTGTAGACCAGGCTGGCCTCGAACTCACAGAGATCCGCCTGCCTCTGCCTCCCGAGTGCTGGGATTAAAGGCGTGCGCCACCAACGCCCGGCCTGTGGCAGGCTTCTTTTCTCCATAGTTCCACATGTTGACCCAAGCCAAGATGTTAAACAGCACCCTCTACCACTCGTATTGGAGTCACATGAATTACCTCCAAAGTAGACTCATGTCCAGAATCAAGGTAAGGAGCTTTCACTCAAGCTAAAGGTGTTTACTTAGAAGGCCCAGAGAATACCATCCTTTCTTTAACAATATTGAGTATGTACTACTTTTCAGGCACTCTGTAGGTGCTAGAGATCAAATGTAGTACAACAAAAGTGGCTATAGTTATCTTACATGAAAAATTAGCCCCATAACCATCCCAGTAAAAATATAATTATAAATAAAATAAGCATTCTAAAAAACACAACTTATGACAGTATGGAATGAAGGAATGAACCAAAACTGAGCATGTCTTAGTTTTGTTTCCTGTTACTGTGATAAAATACCCTGACAAGAGCAACATAGGGGAAGGTTTAGTTTACCTCACAATTGCGGACCACATTTTAGCAGGGAAGCCAAAGAAGCAGCACCTTGGAAGCAGCTAGTCACTTCCACTCTTATGATCAGAGAGACAGTAAAGACTCACACACTTGCTGGTGCTCAGTTCACTATTTTCTCTACTCTCTTTTTAATTTTTAAATTTTGTGTGTATGCATATTTTGCTTGCATCCATGTCTATATGCCTATATATCACCTGTATGCCTGGTGCTCAAAGAGACCAGAAGAAGGAATTGGGTACCCTGGAACTGGAATTACAAATGGTTGTGAGACACCATGTGTATCCTAGAAGTTGAATCCAGGTCTTCTGCAAGAGCAGCCATTGCTCTTAACCTCTGAGTCATCTTTCCAGCCCCTACTTTCTCCACTCTTATACAGTTCAAAAGTCCCTGACTGTGTCTGGAGAGATGGCTCAGAGGTGAAGCCTCTGCTCTTCCAGAGGTCCTGAGTTCAATTCCCAGCAACCATATTGTGGCTCACAACCATCTGTAATGAGATCTGGTGCCCTCTTCTGGCTTGAAAAGATACATGAAGGCAGAACACTGTATATATAATAAATAAGTTTTTGTTTTTTGTTTTTTGTTTTTTTTTTTTGAGACAGGATTTTTCTGTGTAGCTTTGGAGCCTATCCTGGCACTCACTCTGTAGACCAGGCTGGCCTTGAACTGACTCTGCTTCCCAAGTGCTGGGATTAAAGGCATGAGCCACCAACACCTGGCCATAAATAAATAAATCTTTTAAAAAACAGTTCTTGGGTGAGTTCGAGGCCGGGCTGGACTGACAGCCTCCAAAACAATACAAAGAAACCCTGTCTCATAAAACCAAAAAAAAAAAAAGTTCTTGGCTAGGGAATGGTGCTACCCATAGTGGATGATTCTTCCCACCTCAATTAATACAATCAAAGATCAAAGATAATCCCCCACAGACATTTCTGTGTGTCAGCCTGATCTAGACCACCCTCTTGGTCTAGATGTTTTAGATTTTTTCAATTGGTAAGTAAGGCAATCACAGACAGGTTATAGACACTTTCTCTGATGAAAGATGCTTGGATCGGGGTTCGAAAAAATGACAGATATTTGAGTTGGGCTTTAAAGGATCACAGTCATAAATAAAAGAATACATCAGGTTAGCATGCAGAAAAAAATGTAGTAATTCCTGAAACCATAAGACATATGAAAACATCTGTTGGGCATGGTGGCACAGACATTTACCCCCAACTATCAGGAGGCAGAAGCAGGTATCCTAAGTTCCAGGACAGCCAGGGCTATATTGGGGTTGGGGATGACAGACTCCTTTTGATATTTAACAGAGAAATCATTTCAAAAGAGAGAGTGACATGGAAAATATATTTGAAGAACTTAGAAAGCCAAAATTCACAAAAGAATGATCTTAAGGGAAAAGGGCAAAGTAATCTCCAACCTGGTAACAACACTGGCTGTTTACACATGCCTAAAACACAGGAAACAGTCTATGAGTAGCCCTTTTTGCTATGATGGTGATAAAGGAGGAGGAAGAGGAGGAGAAGGAGAAGGAGGAGGGTGATGATTAAAGACATTTTGGGGGATGGAAAGATGCCTAAACAGTTAAAACCACTTGCTGCTGTTTCACAGGACTTGGATTTATTTCCTAGCACCATATAGCTGCTCACAATTGTCAGTAACTCCAGTTCCAGGGGGATTTGTTGTCTTCTGGCTCTGATGGTGGTACATGCCCACAGTGCACTTACATGCATGCAGATGAAACACTCATACATAAAGTTTAAAAATAAAAAAACAAAAACCCAGGCATGGTGGCATAAGCCTTTAATCCCAGTACTTGGGAGGCAGAGGCAGGTGGATCTCCATGAGTTCAAGGCCAGCCTGATCTATAAAGAAAGATCCAGGATAGCCAGGGCTACAGAAAGAAACCCAATAAAACAACAACAACAATAACAAATAACAAGAATTTAAAGGTAATTTGGTGCTTTGGGTGGATATATTCAATTTAAGTTTTGATACTATTTTTCTATTTTTAAATTTTATTAATTTTTACAATGATTATCTGTTCAAACACATGTTGGGGTGCACACGCATACCACAAAGTACATGCATGCTGAGGTTAGAGGACAACTTGCCAACAGAAGTTCTCTTCAATCACATAGATCTCAGGATTGAAATTCAGGTTGCCAGGCTGAGCAGCAAGAACCTTTACTCTCTGAAACGTCTCACCAGCCCTACTTTTATTCTATTAATAAAGATGACACATTAAGTCAAACCAACCAGAAAATCCCTCCTTTACTTTTTAAAGGAAAAAAAGTCTTTTAAAAAAAGATACCCAAAATGCTCACATTGTGTAGGAGTCACTTGACATTCCTTAACCTTTACTAAGAATACTGACAATCTTGAAACCTTGCAGAAGCATTGGCAACAGTCCAGGGGTGGAATTCAACTACACAGCCACTGATGAGCCACATGGGAGTAGCAAGTTAAGTCATAACCCTGTCAGTATGCCCCACATATACAAAACTACTCACAATTTTTTAAAGTTTATTTATTTATTTAAAGAGATAGAGGAGGGAGAGAGTTAGTTCTGGTGACTGGTGGAGGTCAGAGAAAAACCCCTGGGCATGACTCTCTCCTACCAACTTGTAGGATCCAGGACTCAAACTCAGGTCGTCTACTGTGTGCAAGAACCTCTCACTGCTGAGCAATCTCACTTATTATCTATTAATTATTTTTATCATTTATTTATAGGAGTTTGGGCACAGAGGTCAACTTATGAGTGCATCCTGGGGATAGAACAAAGGCAAGCACCTTTATCCACTGAGCCCTCTTGCTGGCCCCAAAAGATTTGATAAGAAAAGAAGTAGCCAGGTGGTGGTGGTGGCACACGTCTTTAATCCCAGCACTAGTGCCAGGACAACTGGGGCTAAACCGAGAAACCCTGTCTTGAAAAACCAAAAAGTAAGAAAGTAAGGGAGGGAGGGAGGGAGGCAGGGAATGAAGGGAGGGAGGGAGGGAAGGAGGCAGGGAGGGAGGGAGGGAGGGAAGGAAGAGGAAGGAGGGAGGGAGGGAGTGAGGGAAGGAAGAGGAAGGAGGGAGGGAGGGAGGGAAGGAAGGAAGGAAGGAAGGAAGGAAGGAAGGAAGGAAGGAAGGAAGGAAGGAAGGAAGGAAGGAAGACCTTTCCTCTTTGGTCGGCTGAAGGCAAGACTGGTCACCAGCAGCTCTACTGGAAGTTCCGCCAGGGCTCTTGCTCTTGCTGCTTCTGCTCTAACCACCACAGCCTGATCTGGAAACACGGGCTGAACATGTGCTTCCGTCAGTATGCGAAGGGCATAGGCTTCATTAAGTTGGACTAAGCAACCTTGAATGGATTATTCAAGACTGTCTACCCAGTGAAACAGATCACGCTAGTCTTTGTACATAAAGAATAAAAAGATGAAGACCTTCAAGAAAGAAAGAAAGGAAGGGAGCCGGGCGTTGGTGGTGCACGCCTTTAATCCCAGCACTCGGGAGGCAGAGGCAGGTGGATCTCTGTAAGTTCGAGACCAGCCTGGACTACCAAGCGAGTTCCAGGACAGCCTCCAAAGCCACAGAGAAACCCTGTCTCGAAAAACCAAAAAAAAAAAAAAAAATTTCTCAGCCGGGCGTTGGTGGTGCACGCCTTTAATCCCAGCACTCGGGAGGCAGAGGCAGGTGGATCTCTGTGAGTTCAAGGCCAGCCTGGTCTACAGAGCGAGTTCCAGGACAGCCTCCAAAGCCACAGAGAAACCCTGTCTCAAAAACCAAAAAAAAAAAAAAAAAAAAAAAGAAAGAAAGAAAGAAAGAGAGAAAGAGGGAGGGAAGCAAGCAAATAAACTTACGCAACTCAAATTTCCAACTTATTAAAAGTTGAATTTGTTCTGTTCATAGAAATTGTCATTTACACTGGGTTTTGTTTACTTTGTTGTTGGATTGTTTGTTTTGTTTTGAGATAGGGTTTATCTGTGTAGCTTTGGTTGTCCTGGAACTTGCTCTATAGACCAGGCTGGCCTCAAACTCAAAAATGCCCTGGCCAGCAGGGCACAATGAGTTCGAGCCCAGCGGAACCTGGAATGAATGAGACAAGAGACAAGGGTGAGATGGACAGCAAGACAACATGGCTGATGGAGCTGCCGTTTAATGAAAGTTCTGTACAGGCTTAAATAGGGGGAAATGAGGTAGGGGATGGGGCAGGAGACTGCAGGACAGTGAGGGAGTGGCCGTTGCCTAGTAACCAGGCCACTGAAGGTAAGCAGGTAACAGGTGTTGGCAAGGTTAAAGGGTCGCAGAGGGAGGGGGTTAAGTGATCTAATTGTGGAATGTTTCCTTCCTGCCATAAGCTGTTTCTTGTGAGCCCAAGTTCTATTCATTAGGAAGCTGGGGAGAGGACAGACTATTCTTTAAAAAGGACTGACACTATTTACAAGAGGTTTTAAATAACAATGATCGCTCCCAACACAGAAATATGCCTGCCTCTGCCTCACAAGTGCTGAGATTAAATATGTGCACCACCACCAGCTGCCTGTTTATATTGCATACTGAATTAAAAACTTAGTGTATCACTTGCTGTTGTCCCCACTAACTCCCACGAGTTCCCTGCCTTCTACACTCAGATTTATGGTCATCCCAAGACAATAATAAACCAGTAAAACACCATCTGGAATCCATACTGTTTTCTTTTCTGTCCTCGAGAGAGTCACAGCTCTTGGGTGTGTTCTACTGGATAAGGGAACTGTCACCTCACTTGTATGTCATTATATTCTTGGATGCCACATCCCTAAGTCCATACAGTCCCAGAGCTCTACCATCCTCGCAGTCTAATCTTAAAGCTTTTTTTTTTTTTTTTTTTTTTTTTGGTTTTATGAGACAGGGTTTCTCTGTATTGTTTTGGAGGTTGTCCTGGAACTAGCTCTGTAGCCCAGGCTGGCCTCGAACTCAGAGAGATCAGCTTACCTCTGCCTCCCAAGTGCTGGGATTAAAGGCATGTGCCACCACCACCGCCTGGCTAATCTTAAAGCATTTACAGCATCCCAAAACATAGCTTCGATTTGAGACCTGAAGTACATGCACACATACTCATGCTTGCCAAGTCCTTGAAGCAAGGCAAAGGATCCAACAGGTATACAGTGCCAAACATGTAAGAGACAAATCAACTATGCTGTCCACAAGTTTAATATTATCATACATTGCAGCTGACATCAAGGGAGGTCCCTCACTCCTCACCTTCAGACCTATACTATTGGCAAACTGAAAACCTGTCCCCATCTCAACCCTTTCAAATGTCCTAACCTATACTTGTATGCCTTACTTAAGGTTATTTGGACTGCTAGCATGACTTTCAAGTGTCCCCCAACTGCTCCAAAACCGAGGGGATTTGTATCCCTTAATACCCAGCCCACATCTTCTAAGCCCTCATTCTGTATGACTTCAGGGTTGTCCACTCAAGTGTTTCTAATCTGGGAAAGCCTCCCTGGAAATGTACACTAACATACCTCAGTCTTCGCTGCAAACTCTTTCCAGGCTGTTATCATCTCTCTCTCTCTCTTGTTTTTTGTTTTTCGAGACAAGGTTTCTCTGTATTGTTTTGGAGGCTGTCCTGGAACTCGCTCTGTAGACCAGGCTGGACTCGAACTCACAGAGATCAGCCTGCCTCTGCCTCCCGAGTGTTGGGATTAAAGGTATGTGCCACCAATGCCCACCTCCAGAGGCAATCTCTTAACACACTTTTTACAAATGTAAAATTTTTGCAATAGGCACCTCCCCAAATCCCAAAATACAGCTAACATCACGTGTTTGTAAATATTCTGCTGAACTCGAGATATAAGAGACTGGAGCATGAGGGTGGGGAGGGTGATTATCAGGAACAAAACATTATTGTTCTATTGTCCTAGAAATCTACCCTTTACCCAAGAATTCTGTGACAGCCATCTTTAGTCACCCACAGTGCTGTAGATGGCAGATTCCTTCCCAAAGTCAAGAGGCTTTTTAACACTGCATTAAGGAAAGTTTCCCGTGTGTGCGTGCGTGCGTGTGTGTGTGTGTGTGTGTGTGTGTGTGTGTGTGTGTGTGTGTGTGTGTCGGTGTGTGACTGTGCCTATTTGTTTGTATACACAGGTGCAGTTGTGTATGTGGAGGTCAGAGGACAACCTCAGTCACTGTTCACCTTTTAAAGGAAGGGGGAGGGAGGGAGGGAGGGAAAAAGACAGGAGGGGAGGGTAGTAGGAAGGGAAGAAGGGGTGGAAAGGAAATGAAGGACAAAGAGGAAGGGAGGAGGGAGGAAGTGAGAGGTTCCAGTGTATTTTACCACTTGTTGGGGGTGTTTCATCGATTTGTTGAAAATCCTTGATTAAATAACAAACCACATCCATCAAAACCAGAAGAAAAGGAGACCTGAGACAGGAACAGCTGTAACATCGTGAAGAAGCAGGATGTGGACCAAGTCGACCTCTGCTGCTCCACCCAAGAAAAGCTATTGGGGAAGAATGAGGTTACCGAGATTCCGCAACTGCGCAGGCGCCACCAGGCTACCAAGGTGCCTTTAAGGCGTGCCCGGAAGTGACGCGATCGCGCTGATTCCCAAACTGGGGAAGGGCTGAGCGAATCGCTGAGGCTAGCGGGCCGGGCGGGCGTCCTCGGCCACTATGAGCTGCACGATCGAGAAGATCCTGACCGACGCCAAGACGCTGCTGGAGCGGCTGCGCGAGCACGATGCGGCGGCCGAGTCGCTGGTGGACCAATCGGCCGCGCTGCACCGGCGGGTGGCGGCGATGCGGGAGGCGGGCGCGGTGCTGCCAGAGCAGGTCGGGCGGGGCCGGGCCGCGCCCTGGGGGGTGGGCGCTGCGGGGAGCGGGCAGGTGGGGTCGCCGCCTAATTATCCTGGTCGGGAGGGCAGGGAGGGCGTGAGAGCTTCCTGTGCGTTGGGTGGGACAGCTGCCGCCTCTGCAGCACCTGCGTGTGTTTGCAGCGGCTTAATCTGTCTCTTTGTCCAGTATCAAGAGGATGCACCCGACGTGAAGGACATGTCTAAATATAAACCTCACATTCTGCTGTCTCAAGAGAATACCCAGATTAGAGACTTGCAGCAGGAAAACAGAGGTTAGTCGTGCTGTGTGTGTGTGCAGTAATACTTTGAACGTTCTTACACAAATGCCTGAATAGTTCAGAAGCTTGCACATTCATAACTTTATTAAGGGTCAGTGCTTAAGAGGGTCATCTGGTAACAAAGTCTATTAGGTTACTCTTTTTTAAGTCTTTGAATGATGACTTTGAAAGATTTGTTTAGTAGAGTTGAGTTGTTAGGTGGTTGGGGTGGGCACATACCAGATGGAGGCTTATATAACTAAAATTCAGAGTCTCAAAATGTAATATTCCGATATAAATTAGAGTGAACACTAAAGTTAATATCGAAGTGGGGTTTTTTTATTTTATTTTATTAATATTCCTGGGCAAGATGGAAGGCCAGAACATTCTTAGGGTTGGTAATGACAGCAGTATAGCAGTTGTCTTGCAGAGACCTTTTTACATCTTCCATTACCTTATATTCCCCTGTCATCATTTTGAAGTCCACAACCCAAGTGTTTACACAACACAGTTAAGAAACAGATTCACGCTGGGTAGTGGTGGCGCACGCCTTTAATCCCAGCACTCGGGAGGCAGAGGCAGGCGGATCTCTGTGAGTTCAAGACCAGCAGTTCCAGGACAGCCTCCAAAGCCACAGAGAAACTCTGTCTCGAAAAACCAAAAAAAAAAAAAAAAAAAAAAAAAAGAAACAGATTCACATGAACCAGCAAGATGGCCTAGCAGGTAGGTAATGGCACTAGCCTGAAGAGCCAAGCCTGAGGACAAGAATGCCATCCAAGGACCTATGTGGGGGAAGGAGAGGAATGACTCCTGGAAGTTGTTCTCTGACCATACATGTACACTGTGGTGCTTGCACACAAATAGACAAAATGTAGTGATTTTTTTTATGGGCTCATTTTGCTTCTGAGTCTTAATTAAGCAAGTAAATGAAAAAAAATGAATTCAAATCCATATCTTGTGATTACATAGCCCGTGTTACTTCTACAAAACTCCACTGCCTAGAAAGTTGTTTTCCAGGTAGACTTTACTCTCTTCTGTGGGCTGGAATACCAGTTTCCAAGTTTGGATTCACAATATCCCATGGAGTATCAGCAAGTCCCAGCTGTTAGGAGGTTTGCCTTGAGACCTGTTATAGACATCATTGCCCAGATGTTTGCTTTTTTGTTAGAGCTGTGGGTTTCCTTGGAGGAACACCAGGATGCTTTGGAACTCATCATGAGCAAGTACCGGAAACAGATGTTACAGTTAATGATTGCTAAAAAAGCGGTGGATACTGAACCAGTTCTGAAAGCTCACCAGTCCCACTCTGCAGTAAGGAAACACTGATGAATAAATTATAGATAAGCCAAACTGAAATCTTGAGCTTGTTGTTTTGTTTGCAGGAAAGCATGTTCCTCTTTCATGGTTTTCATAGTCACTCTGTATCTGGCTGAGGCTTTGTGGAGATATGAATAAAAGAAGGGGACAGGGACTTCTCACGTCCTTTTGAGTGATATCACCTCCCTCACCAAGATCTCATTCAATCTGAGATAGGACGCTTTAGAGTTGTAGGCCAACCTGGGCTACATAGCAAGCTAGATAGGAAGCAAGATGGCAGCTAGCGTGGAAGGCGCTCCGCGAATACTTTGCTGATTACTTGTATGTTCTACTAAACCATAAGTTTTGTAGTGCTGAGGTCATGAGTTCAGTTTTATCCATATCTTCCACATAGCAAGTAGTCTAATTTCATTCAATTATTCGCATTATGTTACTGGTGGTGTGAGGGGAGTCTTCTTTGTTTTATGGCAGTTCCTCCCTTTAATTGCTTACTATTTAATTTGGAAAAAATAGTAACTAGTTTTCAGTTTCTATGGTACTTACTTGTTATATATTTGCATGTATTATGTATTCTAATTTTTAGTTCTTAAATTGGAACCTACTGTTTGCTACAGTGAAAGATGCAATACATTTTATCTCCCATTCCATTGGGTGCATTCTAGGCAACTGGGATGTCTTTAAATATCTAAATATTTGAGTTATTGTTTTTGTTACTTTGGAGGAGGGGGAGAGACTCACTAGGTCCTATTTAGTCCAGGCTGGCATCTTAACTCCTAATCCTTCCTTCTCAGTGTCCCAAGGACAAGGATTACGGGTGTGTGCCACCATACACATAGCATCTGGGTGACAGATGATCTTTAGAAAATGGAAATTATTTGACATATCACAGATTTATATTATTGTGGCTCGAAATGTAGTGTAATTGAAGTGTAACTTCTGTAGCATGTACTAAATGAACCCTTCCCAGTTTATTTCTGCAAGGTTTTAATAGACTTAAAATTCGTAATGCAAATGTTTTTCATGGTCTTTGTAACTAAAGACTATTTTATCATCTTATTTCCACAGGAAATTGAAAGTCAGATTGATAGAATCTGTGAAATGGGAGGAGTGATGAGGAAAGCAGCTCAGGTGGATGATAATCAGTTTTGCAAGATTCAGGAAAAACTAGCTCAACTAGAGGTAAGGTGGTTGCTGTTTAAGTTCACCCCTTTTCAAAGTTTTTATAGGGCCTCAGAATATGTCATCACTATACTGTCAGTGCATTGTATTTACATTTTCCTTTTTATAAGAATGTCTCGAAAAAGGAAAGGGGCTTGTCTCAAAATGTGGTCTGGATTGACCTAAAACTCAAAATTGTCCTGCATCAGCCTCCTATGTTGCCTTAGTAGTATTATGCTAGCAATAATACTAGCAGTATTGGTATTCTCTCTGTCCTAATGGTTTAAAATTAAATTTTCTCCTTTATACCCTTTTCATGGAAATAAAGCAGTGCAATCAACAGCAATCAATGAAAGTCCCAATTGTGGGACTGAGGACAGAGCTCAGTTGGTAAGATGCTTGTGTAGCATACAAAAAGCAGCCAGGCGTTGGTGGCGCACGCCTTTAATCTCAGCACTTGGGAGGCAGAGGCAGGCGGATCTCTGTGAGTTCGAAGCCAGCCTGATCTCCAGAGCCTGTTCCAGGACAGGCTCCAAAACATTACAGAGAAACCCTGTCTCAAAAAAACAAAAACAAAAAAAGCATACAAAAAGCCCTGGGTTCAGTACCCAGTACCACAGATATACTGAGTATGATGGTGCATAGCTATAACCCCAGCTTTTGGGAGATAGAAGATATATATGTGGGTGGGTGGGGTGGGTGTGTTTGTGTGTGTTTTATATATTTAATGTATTATTAATAATACATATTTAAAAAGCAGAGAGAGAAGGAAGAACAGGTTATATGTAATCTGAAATCCTTCATGTGCCATAATAGAAGTCAAATAGATAATATCTAAACTTTTTTTTTAAAGATTTTATTTATTATTGTGAATACAGTGTTCTGCCTGCATGCTAGTCAGAAAGAGGACACCGAATCTCATTACAGATGGTTGTAAGCCACCATGTGGTTGCTGGGAATTGAACTCAGGACCTGTGGAAGAACAGTCAGTGCTCTTAACCTCTGAGCCATCTCTCCAGCCCGATAATATCTAAACTTAATGGTCAAGAAGTAGCAGTACAGAAGCTGGGCAGTGGTATTGTACATCTTTTATCCCAGCACTTGGAAGGCAGAGGCAGGCAGGTCTCTGAGTTCAAGGGCAACCTGGTCTACAGAGTGAGTTCCAGGATAATCAGGGCTATACAAAGAAACCCTGCCTAAAAAAAAAAGAAAGAAAGAAAAGAAAAAAAACTGGGGGTTGGAAAGATAGCTCAGTGGTGTAGCTCAGTTAATAGTAAAGTGCTTACTTAGCAATCATGAGGCCCTGGCTTCGATCCCGACACTTTACAAACTAGGTGTGGTAGCACGCACCTACAGTCACAGAGCTAAAGAGTTAGTGACAGGAGAATCGAGAGTTTTGAGGCTAGTCTGGGATACTTAGTGAGTTTAAAGACAGCCTCTGCTGTGTAAGACCCTGTCTCCAAAAAACATACAAGGAGCTGGAGAGATGGCTCAGCAATTAAGAACACCTGCTGCCCTTGGGAAGATCTGGGTTTGGTTCCCAACACCTACATGGCCACTCACAATCATTCCTCAATATTCCAGGGGATCTGACTCCCTTTCCTGACCTCCAAGGATACCAGGCATGTATGTACTGCATGCATACACAGAGACACATACATGCATAAAAACACATAAATAATGTGAGTAAAACCATGTTGTTGGTGGGTTTTTTTTTTGGTTTTTCGAGACAGGGTTTCTCTGTATTGTTTTGGAGGCTGTCCTGGAATTCACTCTGTAGACCAGGCTGGCCTCGAACTCAAAGAGATCCGCCTGCCTCTGCCTCCTGAGTGCTGGGATTAAAGGCGTGTGCCCCAAACAATATATTCTGACACAGTTTAACAGTTAAAATACAGGAAATATCTTTTTTTCCCAGCTTGAAAATAAGGAGCTTCGAGAATTACTGTCCATCAGCAGTGAGTCTCTTCAGGTTGGAAAGGAAAATCCTGTGGATCCTGCTTCCCAGCCCATCAAATAACTGAACTGAATGCTGGCTGCAGACGGCCCGACCAGGAAAGGAGTGACTGCCTCTCCCTAAGATGTGTCCATTCACGTGTCTGCCGCAGACTTGATTCAGTGTTGATCAGAGGGACAAGATGGCAGTTTGGAATTGACACTTGCTGTTCATTATCCACAAAACAGTTTGGGGTACATTAGTAAAATAGAGGCGTCTCACCATTCCTTTGTCAGAAATTACGTTTAGTTTGACTCTGGGACCTGAATTTATATAAACTATTTTCAGTTCATTTTTGTTTTTCATATCTCTGAAACTCCGAACATTTTATTATAAAACCAGTGATTTTATTTTATATAGGATTATAAAAATTCTAAGAATTTTTTAGATCAGACTTTTAAAAAGTACATGTTTGGTGTAAATCTGGATTTCTTTTTCCACTTCAAAAGTAACTTGACTCCCAGAAGCAGACTGTCAGACCTTCTGAATTACATGACTCACCTGTGGAGTTTGGATTTGCTCTGGTGCTAGGAGCTGGCACTTCGTGGTCAGGTGTCTTCACTCTTTTTGGCTTTTCAAGACAGGGTTTCTCTGTATTGTTTTGGAGATTATCCTGGAACTCGATCTTTAGACCAGGCTGGCCTCGAAGTCACAGAGATCCGCCTTCCTCTGCCTTCCAAGTGCTTGGATTAAAGGAGTGCGCCACCAACACCCGGCCAGATGTCTTCACTCTTAATTTAAGAGAATCTATTACTAGTCCCCAGGAAATATACTTGAAAACAAGTCACCTAGGTTTGGGTTGTTTCTCCTCCTACCCGTCCCCCCAAGGGTCACTCAGTCATTCAGAGAATTCTGAGGAACTTGGACCGGCCTCGTCATGTACAGTCCCACGTGAGCACTTGATTTAAATGCCAACAGTTGCTTTTATTTATTTGATCAAGTCGTCAGTTTTCCATTTTGTTTGCCTAGGGAGTCTTCAGCTTAGGTGGTTTGCCAGCTATGAAGAACATATCAGATTTCCCCACGTCATAGTTGAAACACAGCTGTGGTGTCGAAGAATGGCAGGGCTTGGATGGCTTACCACCCGCAGGAGTAATCTACTAATTCCTTTGTCAGCCTTCCCTGTCTTGGTTTACTCAAATTTGTAAATAATTCCTTTTGCACTATTTGTTTGCCCAAAATGGCTGAAGAAGTATTAATGCTGTCAATATTTGCTGATACTAAGCACCATACCACATGAGAAAGATTGTCTTAAAGAAAAAGGGTCTAATGTTTTATGTGTTGTAAAGCTTCTTTGGTAGGTCAAAAGAACTAATTCCAGCTAAAGCAACAACATCTATCCAGAATGTTCTGAGTCCATCTGATCCCAGAAATACCTGTGGACTTTAATTAGAGTAGTGGGCAGCTCCAGCTGTATACCTTGAAGGACCCCTAAGTGCCCGAAGTGTACTCCACAAGCCCCTCAGGAGCAGCTGACCTCTGCCACTCGTCAGCTGGCAGTCAGGGAAAACGGTCGTGTTAGCAGACAGTGTCTCAGCAGTGGACACAGTACACTTTATCTGCCTTATGTTCCTCTTTACATCTTAGCCACTAGAATCTGTTCCTTTTAGTCCTGGGGATATACTGAGCTTCCAGTGCCCTGTGTCATATAAATTGTCTGGTGTTAATGCTGTGAAGGTGATACAAAGTAACATATTGAGTGGAGAAGGAATGTTCTTCACTTTGTGTGAAGGTGTTAATGTCTTTTGCAGTGGATGGAAGAATTTAGTGTATGAAATTTTAGTATGAAATTATCTTTGCTAATAAAAATGTCTCTTGGGAAGATTTGCTAATTTTACTGAGTAAAGTGTCTAATTAAGTGTAGAGGAGCTGGGTAGTGGTGGCACATGCTTTTAATCCTAGCACTCAGGAAGCGGAAACAGGATCTCTGAATTTGAGACCAACCTGGTCTACAGTGTGAGTTCCAGGACAGCCAAGGCTGCACAGAGAAACACTTGTCTTGAAAAAAAAAAAACAAACAATGCCGGGTGGTGGTGGTGGTGCTGCTGCTGCTGCACTCCTTTAATCCCAGCACTCGGGAGGCAGAGGCACAGGAGGATCTCTGAGAGTTGGAGACCAGCCTGGTCTACCAGAGCTAGTTCCAGGATATCCTCCAAAGCCACAGAGAAATCCTGTCTCGAAAAACCGAAAACAAAAAAGTGTAGAGGGTCTTTTTCACATATATAGCAACCTTGTCAAGTGACATAGATTTCATAAGCAGTTTGCAGTTAGCACAATATAGTCACAGTATAACCTTGCAAACAGCATATTAATAAGGTATTCATTGCAGAAGTACTATATGCATAATTTATCATTGAGTTCTATTTTCATGTTCCTTAGAATGTGGTTCACTCACCTACTGAAATAGAAATTTTTGGATGGAATCTGGAATTTACATTTCAATAATCATGCCAGAAAATGACAGTACTAGTTGAAGAGTACATCTATTAATGACAGTGAGATGACTCAGCAGATAAAGGTGCTTACCACAAAACCTCATGGCCTGCATTCAATCCCGGGAACCCATATGGTGGAAGGAGAGAACTAACTCCTGCAAGTTATCTTCTGACCTCCCATCCACAAACAACAAATTATTTGTATTGGTCTGTGCAACTAGGAGTTATATGAGTTGCGGGGGAGAGCAGACTAAGACTTTTAAAAAGAACAGCATGGTAAAGAGAGTCAAGTATACATAGAGAGTTGGAGATGTAACAGCTGGTGTGGCACTTGCCTGGCATTCACAGAGTGGTAGCTTTCATACTTAGCACCAGATAAACTAGGCATGGTTAGACATGCCTGTAATCCCAAAACTTGGAGGCAAAGACAGGAAAATCAGGAATCCAACCTGGGCTACAAGAGACTCTGTCTTTAAAAAATAAAAATGTGCATATAATTATGGTGTAGTATGACAAATCTTGAATTTGGAGTGCTATCCATCAGCTCTGTAAGCCTCTGTGTCTGCAGCAGAGACTGGGATCCTCACTGCAAACATCCTCTAAAAGCATCAGACACAAACCTCTAATTCTCATTTCCTGGCTGCCCAAGAAATCTTGAGAAATACTTTTTTGCTGCCCAAGAGATCTTGAGAAATACTTTTTTTTTTTTTTTTTTTTTTTTTTTTTGCTTTTTTGAGACAGGGTTTCTCTGTGGCTTTGGAGAGTCTAATGAACTCAATCTGTAGACCAGGCTGGCCTCGAACTCACAGAGATCCGACTGCTTCTGCCTCCCGAGTGCTGGGATTAAAGGCGTGCGCCACCAACGCCCGTCGAGAAATACTTTTAATAAAGCCTGGTCTACCAGTGAGTTCCAGGACAGGCTCCAAAACAATACAGTGAAACCCTGTCTCGAAAAAACAAAAAAAAACAAAAAACAAAAAAAAAACCTATCCTGAATTAGTCAGGTGATGGTGGAGCACACCTTTATTCCCAGTACTTGGGAGGCAGAGGTAGGCCCATTTTGTGAGTTCAAGGCCAGCCTGGTTTACAGAGTGAGTTCCAGAACAGCAAGGGCTATTGTTACACGGAGAAATTATGTCTCAGAAGAAAAAAAGAGAAAAGAAATCATTCCCAGTACTGGGACTAAGACTTGCCTACTATATGCAAAACCCTGGTTCAATCCCCAGGACAACAAAAACAAAGCCAGAATATTACCAGTGCTAGCCAGGCAAGGCAGCCCACACCTTTAATCCTAGCATTCTGGCTAGAGTCAGCAGCAGGCAGATCTCTATGAGTGGTAGGTCAGCCAGGTCTACATGTCAAGTTCCAGAATAGTCAGGGCTACATAGTGAGACCTGTCTCAAAACAAACCAACATAATTTTTAAACAAATGTTTTTTTCACTTGTTTATTTGAGTTCCTACTTCTCCCTATTCCTGCCCTACTTTTTTTTTTAATAGCTTTAATCATGGGTAAAAAAAACACAACTATATATCTCTTAGGCAATCCGTTCTTCACCTCTGTTCCTTTATGAATTTCATAGACATGGCATCATACTGTACTGTATATAGTCTAGAGATTGGAATTTTCTTCAGTTGGTGTATTCATAAGATTCATTTTATTGTAGACAGTTGTCATTTTTTCAATGATATGTTTCATTATGTGACTATAAAATGTTGTTAAGAAATACTGTATATGAAGTTGGAGCTTAGTGGTAAACATGTGCCTAGCATGTAGAAGGCCTGAGTTCAACCCAACACACACATGCACACACAGGAAGGGAGAGAGAGAGATGCTATAATAAAGTACATTTTTTTAGCTGGGTGATATCCACCTTTAATCCCAGCACTTGGGAGGCAGAGATAGGCAGATCTCTGTGAGTTCGAGGCCAGCCTGGTCTACAAGAGTTAGTTCCAGAACAACCTCCAAAGCCACAGAGAAACCCTGCCTGGGGGGGGGGAAGGTGCCTCATAATGGACTTTCAGGGTGAATTCAGGAATATTAGTCACTAACTCAGTGAAAAGCAGACCCATGGTTTCACTTTTTGTCACTCTCCAAGCACATTGAAAAGGAAACAGAACCTTCAGAGTTTAGCTGTGCCCAGCATTTCTTCTAGCTTTTGTTGTTTGACTTTCTTGGGGAGTCTACTCCAAAGGAATGATCAGCCAAGCAGTGGTGGCACATACTGTTAATCCCAGCACTTGGGAGGCAAAGGCAGGTGAATCTCTGTGAGTTCCAGACCAGCCTGGTATACAGATCGAATTCCAGAACAGGCTCCAAAGTCACACACAGAAACTCTGTCTCGAAAACCAAAGAAATTAAAAAAAAAGCAAAAGGAAGGAAGGAAGGAAGGAAGGAAGGAAGGAAGGAAGGAAGGAAGGAAGGAAGGAAGGAAGGAAGGCGATTCTGCTCAAGGCTAACTAATGAAACAGAGTTTTGTGTAGATATAGAGCATGGGCAGTTTACTGCCAGTTGCACACAGAAGGCCTCTCACGATGGTCCAGGCAATTGTTAATCGTTTGCTGCTTGTATATCCTCAGGGAGAGGAGAAGTCTTCTGAGTTGTGCTGGTTGTCACCCTTGCATGCCTGGAGGACAAGATTCTTTAACACTTTACCTCTTTCCTCTAGCTCTTCCCCTCTTTCCACTCTTTTGAGATGTTCCTTGAGCCTCGGAAAGGCATGTGGCCATTGTGTCTCAGCAACAGGCGATATTCCCAGCAATTTGACTGATTGTGAATCTGAAATCACTGTCACAGTAAAGGTTTTCTTGCTACATGGGCAGCTTCTCTTACTAACTGCCTTCTGGGTATTGATGTTTATGCAGAGATTAGTGCTTTGTTTTGATTAGTTTTTTTGTTGTTGTTGTTAACTTGACACGAGCTGGTTTCTCCAGGAAGAACATCCTTTGAGAAAACACCTCGTATTCAATTAGCTTGTGGGCAAGCATGTGTATGGAGTGAGAGCCTGGCCATTGTGTAGGCAGTGCCATCCCTGGGCAGGTAGGTAGTCCTGGGAAGTATGAAAAGGGAAATTGAAGCGCATCTTTAATCCCAGTACATTGGAGGCAGAGGTAGATGACTCTGTGAGTTCAAGGCCAGCCTTGTCTACAAAGACCAGGACAGCCAGAGCTGTTACACAGAAATACCCTGTCTGGGGGTGGGGCATGAGGGTGTGAGTCTGGGGAACAAGCCAATAAACAGTATTCCTCTGTAGTCTCTCTTTAGTTCATGCCATGAGTCCCCTTAGATTATCCAAGTTGCTTTTGGTCATGGTGTTTTATCACAGCAATAGAAACCAGCTGCCTTTTGCAGTGGGCATCTTTTAATGCAGAGACTCATAACTGACTGGAGTGGCAAGAACAGATTCGTGGGAAGTGCTCAGCCCAGATGTGACATCTATCCCACCACCTCCTCCAAGGCTCAGGGAATATTACAGAAGAGGGGGAGGGAAAGAAGTGAGTGACAGGGATAGAGAAGGGTGCTGTGAGCTGGAGTCTTCCAGAAACAATATTGACTGAACTCACAGCAGCTTTGACTACCTACACAAGACCTGCATAGAGTCAAACCAGCTAGCATTTCAACACGGATGAGAGAGGATTTTAGGAGGACACCCCCAGCTGAAGAGCTAGTAGAAGTTGAGAGGAGGTGACATTATTTTTCTTTCCGGGCTTTTAGGTTATCCATGTTCCTGTGAATGACCCCACCCCACACCCATACCCATATAGGCAGCACGAATTAGGCTTAGCAGTTTATTTTAAAAAAAAAAGAAAAGACACGAGGGGCTGCAGAGATGGCTCAGCAGTTAAGAGCACTGACTGACTGTTCTTCCAGAGGTCCTGAGTTCAATTCTCAGCAACCACATGGTGGCTCACAACTACCTTGAATGTGATCTGGTGCCCTCAGCTGGCATGCAGGCAGAAGACTGTAAAAAAAAAAAAAAAAAAAAAAAAAAAAAGACATAAAGACAGGAGGCCAATGGGCAGGGAGGTGGGGTTTCCGGGGAGTGGGAGGTTAGGATCAAGACATATATACATGTATGAAATAGTCAAAGAATTTAAAATATTACTTTCAAAATAAATGAATTTGCTCTTCTTTTGGGGGGGGGGTTCGAGACAGGGATTCCCTGTATTGTTTTGATGAATTTGCTTTCTTAGGTCAGTAGTATTGTATTTAGTTCCACCATAATCCAGTTTATACTGGATTATATTAGCTTCTCTCCATCTCCATATACAAAGACACAAATAAGGTCACAGTCTAAGGTTCTGGATGGGTATTGAATTCAGCATAGGGTGGGGGTGGAGGACAGGTATTACCCACCATCAATCTTTAGTCACCAAGGTAGAAATAGT